CGAACACGTTGAAAAACGTGAGACGGTATCCTCACAGCCCATATTGCTTTGTGCCTCAAACTTTTGTGTCCCTGCTTATGATGCGTGCTTACTCTGTGCTGTCTTCCTTTGTCTTCGTCTTATTCTGTTTTTATCCCGTCTCCTTTTTAGTTATTATGCCTTTTTAGTGTCAGATGGTGTCAGATTTTGGCCACGACTCTTTGTGAGGCTGCGAAGCGCATGGCCAAACTCAGGGTATCGTTGCCGTGGGGACATTAACGATGTTCTTCAGGCTAGTGCAGGGCATGCTGCCCTCTTTCCAATGTTTGCGTTCTTTTGAAGAAGTCCTTTCCTGGTTTGATTTCTTTCAATGCAGCTTTCTTGCGTATGTCTTGGTTCCTTTATGTCCTTCCTGTCCTTTCCTTTAGGCAAACTGAGCCCTCGCTGAATAGGCACTCAATGTGAATAGTCAAAATACATCTGCATCTATTTGACAGAGCATCTTCTTGGATTATTAGGTTGGAGGCCATCGCTTTATTGTTCCTACCACTCCAGCCACCTACTGCTAGCTTTCGTAAGAGCCAAGCCATTGCGTCATTTGGACATTTGTCCAGCCTCAAAGTGGGTCACATGAGATCCGTTTGGGGTCCTGGCAAATTCAATCACTGACCGGTTTCTTTTACTTCCAAATAGCCAAGTGGGCCAAGGCCCTCGGACATGCCAGGCAGTCTCAGGATCTGCTTCAACCTACAAGGTGTCAAGTGCTGCCAATATAAAAGATCCAAAGAATGCAATGTGCGGAGCCTGGAATGCTGTGCCAGAGCCGCTTGGCGTGATAACCCGCCTGGAAACCTAAGTGCGCAGTGAGCATGGACCATATGGACCTGTACTATCCGTTTATTGATCTTCCAAGTGATTTACCAAGATTTGCCATTTGCATGCATCCGTATGCATGTGCATCCATATGCATCTTGCAAATTCTTGCCAGGAGACATGGATTGGAGCCTCTCGTGATCCAGCTCGAACGGTCGAGGATGTCACTGCAACGTGGCCAGATGATAGCACCTCAGTCACACACACACAGCCTCTCCTTGCGCCCATGCAATCGGGAATCTAACGCTCAATAAAAACAGCTTTAGGTCACATCTTCAAATCATCTTCAAAAGACCTCAGCCTCTCAAGTCATTGGCTGAATGCACCTAGGCCTCTGGCCGGCACGGTGGCAATCGCATGTCGCACGGTTGAGCTGCAGCTTGATGGGCTTGACGCCTTAGGCTACTTTTGCAGTAGGAAATCTATTGAAATCTTAACCAATGACGAGTGGGGTCCAAGGGTCCAAGCAAGTGGGTGTTTGAACTAGAAGGGCCTCACTAAAGATTGCTGATGGGGAGAACAATCTCTCATTTCAATCATGTTGTACAACCTCATATCGCTGGGGTTAAGCTCCAGTCTGTGGCCGTGTAGAGAACGCTGCTAGAGGTCTCCCTGACAAACAAAGCAATGCAGGGAGAGGTCGGCACCAAAAATGTCACTTCGCAGTTGCATGTTAAGTTGAGTTGTTTCCCTAAAAATCTAGAAACCAAATAATTAGTGCAAGCGCTTCTTCAAGGAAGCTTCCTTGAAGAACCGTGAGCTGTCCTGCATCCTACCTAGGACCGTCCTGTACCTACTAGCTACCTAGCTTCTACTAGCTACCTCTAGCTAACCTACCTACCTACCTACCTACCTACCTACCTCTACTAGGGGCCTACCCTCTCTTAAAACTTAATGACTTAAACCAGCTTCATAAACAACACATCAATAGCTTGGTCGGAGGCGCTGAGCAAAAGAGCCGGCATGCTTGGCGGTGGAACCAAAAAAGAATTGCGAAGTAAAGTGTTCTATCGGAGCTACCAAGTTTTCTCTTAGCTTTGGTTCACCAACTAACATCAAATTATATAATAGCAACCAACAATCGATTACAAGAGAATCTTCAAGAGAATTACAATACATTCGCATAGTTTATCAATGCTTATGACGGTTTTGCGAAGAGCTTCTCAAACACTTCCCGGCCGCACCTGGCAGTGGGAGCTCCATAGCTAGTGCTTCTCTTCTCGAACTGCGACACCAGGTCTCGCACAGGAGGTGCCTAGCTCGGCCAGGTTGAACAACTGGCAACCAGGCACTAACCAAAGAAGACTGAACTAAGTAGGTGCTTTTCGACATATTGCAACCATTTCCAGAATCTAGATCCCCCACTTCCTCTCAAGCCAGATCTCGGGATTCTTCCATCAACAGTAATTAGTTGAGAAGTTGTTGCCTGAACTATATACTAGTAGCCCTGGCTGTTCCACCCATGTCTGTTTTTCGGTCAGAATTCATTGCCTCAGTCAGTGGATGATGCGAAAGCTTCGCCCTTTGAGAGGTCTGTGTTTTTTCAACTACAGTATTATCTACATATAGTTACCTAGCTTATCCTAGCTTCCTCTCTCAACTCAAAGAGCTACAAGTACACTGAAAAGGACAAATCATGTCAGCCAAGGCTCATGTGACGTTGAGTTTACAGCCAAATCCCGTTGGCTTGGCACACGTTGTCGCGCGTATGGCCTTTGTAGCATCCACGACGAGGCTCCGCAGTTTGTCATTTGTCAACTTCGGTAACATCCAACTCTTTTTGCTCCTGGTCCGTCTGCCTGGAACCAGGAAGAACAAAGGTTGCATGTCTTCTTCCTATTTCTCCGGACCAATGCTTAATCAATCCAAGGATTGGTCCTGGCATGGGCCCCGTGGGCTGCCATTGCTGGCCAATTTGGGGCGTTCCAAGGTCTTTAGGTCCTGGAGTCCTTGAGGTTTGAGAGTCGTTTGCTGAGGTTCATGCGAAGCTGGAAGACCTGAGCCTGAGTTGGAGAGAGGCGGTGGCCTGGGTGCACAGGCCAGTCATTCTCATCGATCATCATGGATCCATGCCATCGTGTGCTTCAGGTTCTTCAGGGTGCATCTGATACATCTACTCTCGTTAACCCACTATCTACTGAGCTATGTAGGCTTCAGTGCTTGGGTCAAAGCATCCAAGAAGTAGTACCATGCCGCGGTGACCTGGAGGGAGAACAAAGAAACAACAACAGAATAAACAGCTGGGCAACTTGGAGCTTTAGGAAATCTCAGATCTGCACGCATGCCTGGAGCTCATCGCAGGAGGCTGCCTGGCAGCTTGGCACAAACTGAGCATGCTTTGTTCTGCTAATGTCCTTTCTGTGTCTTTTTTTTCATTTCTGGGTTTCTCGTTTTTCTTCAGTTCTGCAGACCATTCGTGTAGACCTTTCTTTCTTCTGTCTTTCTCCCTCCCTCCCTCCCTCCCTCCCTCTCTCTCTCGCGCTCTCTCTCTCTCTCTCTCTCATCCCGAAGTAGTGGCTGGCTGGACCGCGCTGAGAGGGGAGACGGAGACACCTGAGGCACAGTATTGCACGCTTGCTTTGCCTCGGAAGAGATGTCCTTCTGAAGTGCAGAAGACCCCAACACAAAGTCTTTTCTGAACTGCGACTCATACTCAGTGCCCGTATCCCATTTATCCAGCTACGGATAAGTTGGTTTGTGCCACGGAATGTTCACCCAGGACAAATTGAAGTCAACTCACATCCTCCCGTCATGTGGAATTGTGCTAGCCATGATTGCCAGTGCTTTTCTATCCATGAAGGGGTACGAGTATGCTGCATCTTATCTTTACGTGTCCTTCAGTGGAGGCTTCAGTTTACCACATTCAAGCTCCTGCCTGACCCATTGCCACGGATGAGCTTGTTGGGGTGACTGCAGCACAAGGTGCCGGAGGAGCCTTCAAAGAACATCATGCGCCGTGCGTTATTAGTTATCACTGCACAAGAGTGATTCATGTGATGCACGCATTGCAAGAGTATTGCACGGCTCTTCATTGCCTATATAGCAAGGGATATTCTATGATATTCTATATTTTGCAAGGAATGCAACTGAGCCTGTAAACTACCAGAAAGCACGCCGGAGACCTAGGCTCTGTTATATAAGCTCGAACGGAGTGAGGCAGAAGTGTTTCTTACGACACCAATGAAATAAGTATGCTGAGCCGGCTGCTGTATGAGGGACAGAGGGAGTACGGTGTCCGTCACATGCCCGTGAAATGCCTGCCAAGGAGATATTGGAGGCAGCGGGGAAGTGGTGTGAGCATTGTTGTAGAGATTTGTGGAGCATGAGAGGAACAAGAGGACGCTACTAGTAGCTCCTGGCATCGCTACTAGGAACCCGGGGATTACTACTAGTAGCAAGGACGCTACTAGTAGCAAAGTTGAAACATCTTGAAATTCAGGAACAAAGAGCAACGTGCGAGAAGCATGAACTAAGAAGTAGGCCTGAAGTACTCTTGCTCATTCCCTCGTCTCTGCCATCCTTCACGGGATTTCGCGGGCGTAGTGAAGTGTTTAACACAAAATCCAGAACATTTTCCAAACTCAATTCACCTACGTGCTCAATTCAAGCTTCCAGCAACTGGCCTTTGCAAATTGCAACTTGAGCTTGAGATTGTTGCAGTGGTCCTCCAGCTCTTTCAATTTGCCCTGAAAGCAACTGAAACAATAAGCGCGTACTTTTTGGGCACTTGTGGGACAAATACGTATGTTAAAAAGTCATCGTGACGTGGTTTGTGTCACCTCGAGGCTGCCTTTGCGTTCCGTCTCCGACTTCAAGCGCTCCTGCAGCTTTAACACATGACAAGTGAGGAAGGGCATAACGAATCCTGAATTCATAATCATACCGTCTTCAAACACCTCAATTTCGATCTGTACCAGTACGAACCAACCTTTGTGACAGCTGTGTGGCTTCAACAATCACCTACCAAGCAGATCTGCCATTTCCTGCTAGTCAGTTCAAACTCCCTCAGATGCCTCCAAATGGGGCTGGTGCCAGTTCAAGATGTCAAAACGGGTCTTCTACCACAACTATGCAAATCAAAGCTGAGAAGAATCTGAACTCGTGCCCATACAAGAGCACTAACGCTTCAAAAGTCTTGTTGGACCTGCTCACTCAAGTGACCAGCATTGTCCCACCTTGAGTGAGCGCAGCTCCTCCTGCAAAAAATAACCCAGCGCAACCATCTTCAGTCCAAATATGAGCCGGTCCTCTTTACGCCTGGAATCATCTTGGAAGCTCTGGGCCTCGCAATAGGCCCACATGTTTACAGTTCTTGCATGTGCTTGAGGTTCTCAAGCACGTTCTGCCTTAGCGTGCAATTCCTCGCACTTCTTTGAAAGCCTTTGCCGCTCAACTTCCCATTCACCGTGAGCCCTTTTGAGTTGATCATCCAGCCGCGATCGCTCCCCCTCGACCTGGCAATTCAGGGTGGGTGCCATGCCGTTGACAAAGGCGTTTTGTGGCGTAGTCCGTTGAGGGTGGTCGAGTGGTCGAGGCATGCCTTTTTGTTACTAAAGTATGCAGCCACAAAAGGTGGTCTTAAGCTGGTGTAATGCAGTTTTGTCGTTCGACAAGAACTGCATGCCGCCTTGTGATACACAGTGCGACATATTGCTACTAGGTCCGTCACAAAATGAAGGCAGCGCGTCTGATTCTGTCGTGTTTGAACTTCATTCCGAGCTTGGTTTCTGCAGCTTCCAACCTCACGACGACCCACTGCAATTCAAAACTCCAGTGACACTTGTGCTTGAGCATCATGGTACATCATGTTACCACGTTTGTTTGGCTTTGCTTCACCAAGCAACTGCTGTGGAAATCTCTGCAGAAGGGCACTTCTGGCCGCCGAACTCTCTGCCTTGTAGTCTTCTGCAGAAAGACTGGCTGAGATACCACCTTTCCTCTTGTGATACATCCCAGGTGCATGCCTGAGGAGTTGTCAGGGTCAGTGACAATACAAGCACATTGACACTCAAAGCAGCCCTTGCAGACATGACCACTTAGGTTACTCTACTGAATGCATTTCGAGCCAGGCCTTTTATAAACTTGGAATCTTCCCACCCGCACAGTTGCACCATCATGCTCATAGAAACGGCAAGACCGCTCAATGTCGTCCATGACTTGACCGAAAAGTGAGTACCTCGAATCCTCGTGCATTGCTACCATACCGAAGGCAGCGCCATACCTTGGCCAAGCGGCAAGCTCAAACCGAATCACCAGGATCAAAAAAAGCATCTTCCTGACTGCTGTGATATCGCAGACTCAGCCTGGCCTGGTTTGGGTCAGGATTCAATTTGATAAAAGTCTTTTGTTCAGCTGGCCAGCATCGGAATGGCCGACTTATCTTCTAGGACTCGCGCGAAATTACTTACTCATAACGAAACTGATTGTGCAAGGCTCTTCAAATGCAACTTGGTATACAATATGGGTGAAAGAATCTTGTTGCGGTTCTTTACCTGAGGATTAAATATCCAAGGGGCCGTAGGGCGGGGTGGCAGTGGGGCAGGTGTGGCAGGTGTGGCAGTGGGGCATGGTAGTACTGTGCTGCAATGCAGAGAAGAGGTTAGTAGTACCCGTTCGCCCAAACATGCACCTTATACGGGTATATATACTAGACTATAGCTTTCAAAAAGTAAAAGTATGAGTTATATATATATAGTTTATATATATATATACTCTGTTGGTCGGCACGGCTCAAAGGCTAGTTGTGACTTGGAGTTTAGCGGCGGCGGTCATGCTTGGCGGTTCCAAGACCTATGACCTATTGTCTTCGTGTTAAGATACACTAGCAAAATAGGTGAACATGCTGCTTTCATGACTAAGAATATGTTGCTTCAACCTCGCTAGGTCAGTAAAAGACATGAGAAAGCATTGGGTGCTGTGAGCATAACTAAGCTTTGCACACCAAGCCCTTCCCAACATCCACTTCTGCACTCCAATGAGCAGGATTAGGGGAGTCACTTCCTGACCATATTTTGGCACCAGCACGTTCCATTTCATTGAAGCCCATGGCAATGAGTTCGTCCAGTTGTGCACCAGCTTCTATTGCTTTGCCGCAGTCCATGAACTTCAGGATGTTGTCGTCAAAAATCATAACCTTTGCTCCTGGCACGGATCAAACCGATGTGCCGACACCAAAACCCCACTATAGCCGCGCAGCACAATCACAAACACCCTACTATATCACTGATGAAAAAACAATTGGAGAGGGAGAGAGACACGGAGAGAGAGAGAGAGAGAGAGAGAGAGCAGCACAAGAAAATAATTGTAAGTCTAATTTGCACACATGACACTGGATGGAGGATATTTTGAGGGCTGGTAAGATCAACGGTCGGTGTGTGTGTGTGTGTGCGTGCGCGTCCTTGATGTTTTGGAGTGTAAGATGTACAGTTGTAGTGATCGATTCTTTGGCTTGTGGAGATCTGCAGTGACCTAATTAAGGCAATTCTTGAACCGTTGTGATTGGTAGAGTGTGCCCATGACTGCCTCTGCGCAGTGCAACTGCGAGATCAAACAAACTCAGCGACACCAGTCAGCACTTTCACTGTATAAATAGAACCGCATGCATCGGTAAGCTACTAGTAACAAGTGCATCGCTTCTAGTAACAAGTGCCTTACTAGTAGTAACAATGTTCGCTACTAGGAACAAGTGCCTTACTAGTAGTAACAAAAAGAATTTAATTAGAATTGTAATTAATAGCTTCTTGTTACTACCAGTAAGGCACTTGTTACTACTAGCGATGCACTTGTAATTACTAGCAAAGGAATCTACTCGAACCGCATGCATGGGTAATGTGCTGTTGGCGAAACTCTCCCTGCCAAAACGCACGTAGCGCCAAATGTCCTGTCATGTTCTGTTCCAGTAGGAGATGTTCTGTGAGTGATTGCCGTCCTTTCAGTGTATGTAGTTGTGTGGAACTTGAAATCGGGCACTTCTAATTTGGAAGTGTTCATTCTTTTTGGATTGTTGTTCAAAATCCTCCGGCTCACATTTCCTTGCTAATTGGGCGTCATTGAAAGAGAAACAGCTGCCGTAGCGGGCAAAAAACATTGGAATGATGCAGGTTTCATGTCAATTCCTAGCTAAATACAGCAATTTGGTGTCCTTAGCAGAGACACAGCTGTCGCAGCTGGCAAAATACATTGGAATAGTGCATGTTTGATATTAATTGCCAGCTAATCAAACTATACGATACAATTGGTGGCCTTAGCACAGACACAGCTGTCGTAGCTGGCAAAATACATTGGAATAATGTAGGCTTCCGATTAACTCCTAGCTAATTGCAGCAATTTGGTGTCCTTAGCAGAGACACAGCTGTCGTAGCTGGCAAAATACTTTGGAATAGTGTCTGTTTCAGATTAACTCCTACAAGTACGTAGCTAATTACAGCAACTTGGTGTATTACAGCAACTTGGTGTCCTTACCAGAGACACAGCTGTCGCAGCTGGCAAGTTACATTGGAAAATAATGCAGGCTTGATTAATATTAAGTGCTAGCTAATCACAGCAGTTTGTTGCACTTAACAGAGAAACAGCTGTCGTAGCTGGCAAAATACACTGGAATACTGCAGGTTTCAACTTGATTGCAGCGTGGTCGACATTTCACAAATTCCTTTTCCCGCGAAGCATAGCAGAGAGAAGCACTTGAGGCCAGAGGGGGTGAACGAAAGCTAGCCGGGCCTCCTCGT